TTTTTTTTTTTTTTTTTTTTTTTTTTTTTTTTTTTTTTTTTTTTTTTTTTTTTTTTTTTTTTTTTTTAGATTTTAGAATTTTGGGCTTATATGGAATGGCTTTTTTAAATGGTTGATATAAATATCTATTATTGGAGAAAATCGTTTAAAAAGTTAATTTTACATTGTAAAATTAAATTATGAGCATGAATAGGGAATAAAATTATCCTTCAAAATCACATTAAATTTAATTAATAAAATATTGAAGGTTTGGTTTAGGAAAATGTACTTAAAAAATGTGGTAGCTTTTTATTTATTTATTATTGTTAATTGATTTTATTTTATTCCATTTAATATAATATTGAATGTTTATTGAAAGGGGAAAGGCTATGCTCTGCTTGCAGGGATATACTTGTCAATTCTGAAAAGTTTTCGATGACCCGTTCTTTTTTATTAGTTTAACATATTTATAAATACGTTTAGTCTTTTTTTTAAAACTCTTCGAGTCTTTTTTTATTTGTTTTTCGACTTTTGTTATTAAATTGAAGATGCGTAGGGCATATTTTGATTATCCTTTGAACCGACTTGAAATTTCGATTGAATTGGATTAGTAATTCAAGCAACTTGAATAGAGTTCATAACCCAATCCTCTTATTTCCGACTTGAAATTTCGATTGAATTGGATTAGTAATTCAAGCAACTTGAATAGAGTTCATAACCCAATCCTCTTATTTTTGGGTTGAGTCGAACATCAGTTACTAACGTTAAATCAACCCACAACTCAACCCGAATTTTTAGAAACAAAAAAACTCAACCCAACTCAAAATATCTACATACCCAGTACGTGTTGGTATCGATCGCCGGTGAACTCGCTACACACATAGGCCTTGACACCCTCATCTGGTATAGATATATATATTTATACATATATAACAACTGATCTGTTACCATACTCTAATATCTTGATATGATCAGCTGCATTGAGCTTCTACAATTTGTTATCCTCATTATGCAAAAAGATAGTAGGCTGACCTTACCAATGGTTCGTACGGTCGAGTAATCCAGGTTCCCGTTACATGTCTTCAGCATCATATGGCTTAGCCGTACGAGACCTAAGATCAAACCATCACCTGGGAATAGACATGTGTCTTTTCTTCTATATCGATATCAATCACCTTAAAGTGCATACATCCGTTTGTATTCGTTATTCAACAACTCTGATTCTGATGCAACCATAGACATGGAATAAGAACGAGATCGGCTCTCGCCTCGTTGTATACTTCTCAATCTAGCCTCTTCCATCCTGTGTTGAATGACACAATAGCACATCGAGCCAATCGTTGTAAGCATTATCGTGCTACCGATCACGGTTGCACATATGGCAAGCCATTTGTGGTTTGATCCAACAACCACATAAGTGATTGAAATGAAGGCAACAGAAATGAAGAGACAAGCCAACCACATGAGCTTGTTAATCACAAAAACAAGCTGTCTCTTTGCCTTCTGTTCAATCACAACTACAGATGTCTGAACAACTACAACCGCCAGGGATATGAACAACGCCAAACTGTCGGAAACCATAAAAATGATGAAAGCTGCATTTGTAGCGATATGCGCTTGTCCGAGACTAAAACCCTTTGTGTCCTGCTCAACGAACTGGCCGGGGACGGTGAATATGGCAGCAAAAGCAACAGTAGCAATGAGAACAGCCACGACAGTTGCGGAGTTTATAGCATTGTTGAGGCCGCTTATGTGAAGTTTCTTTAATCTTTTTGCAATTCTCTGAACTCGAACGCCAGTCTGGCGGGTCTGCTGTAGTTGGGATTCGACATCGTGCTTTATGTCACAAACCGTTTGCTTAAGTTGCTTGGCTGCACTTGGGGGTTTCCCCTGGTCTTTGGAATTGACTGCCCCTGCTTCCTTCAAGATGGTTACAAGTTCTGAAGATCCAAATTTTTCAGCAATGTCAAGTGGGGTCTCTCCATTCTTGTTGTTGGAATTGATGTTGATACCATTGACAGATAATAAGCAATGAACATTCTGCAAAGATATGAAGATCTCAAAATAAGACCAAGACCGAGTACGAGAATCAAACATCGAAACTGAACTTTTTCTTCGATTTGGACATAAAATCGACATCAGCATTAAAACTTGATATAGAAAAGATCGAAAACGAAAATTTCCTGATTTTTCTCTTCTTCCTATGCACTAGCTAAGAATCTGAGACCTTTTCTAGATAATCGTTTGCGGCAGACATTTAAGAGTTCAAGGATACGGTTGACAGTCCAGCATATAAGATTTGGTGGCGATTGTCGAGCTCCCTATGAGTTATTTGAGTATTTCGCTTGGCCATAATATGGGAGCCTATGTCAAAAAGATCATAGGAAACAAAGCATCTTTGTTCTGGAAAGAAGGCGTTGAGGGGAAGCTCGAAAGGGAAAGCCCAGAGGAAGCCCGAAAGATGCTACGTTTATTTTGTTCATGTTCCAGAATAAAGACGATAATATCTACGCGTAACATTGAGGGAAAGGCCGAAAAGGAAAGATGAAAGAAGACAATATCTACTAGCGGTGGGCTTGAGCCAGAAATCTGAAAACGATTGTCCTCACGTGGTCAATTGTGGAAAGAAATGAACATGGGAAGTCTTGGTAGGAACTTACTAACTCGTAATGCCAACTCTCGAACGATAATGGGAGAACAAACTGGGAGTTTCAAATAAGGTTAGGTTCTTTTCTTGGCAGGTAGTGGCCCGATACTTTAGATATCGTACAAGGTTCGCTACTCTCAGGTTCAGTCCAAACCGGGAGGGTCGACTTTTTGTCATTTTCAATCTTCAAACGTGGTAAATATCCATACCAAATCAAACAAATCAAAGAAAAATTTGCATCTATCGAATACTTTTTGCAGGCTATGAACACGAACAAAATAAATTATTTATAATACCTCGGTACGTCTCTTGGATACAGCAATATGTAATGCAGTATTTCCCTTGTTATCTTCCAGTGTCAAAACCGAAGGATCAGGCCTTAGTAACTCCATCACAATCCTCTCGTTCTGCCCTTTTACAGCCATGTGCAGCGGGGTTTGGCCCTTCTTGTCAGTTCGGAAACCGAGGCTCGGGTCCTTGCTTACCAATAATTTTACTACTTCAACATGGCCCATTCTGGCAGCCGAATGAAGGACAGTCTTACCATTGTTTCGAGCTATTTTAGTAAGTTCCGAGTCTGCTTCAAGAAGAAGATTTACCACATCAATGTGCCCTTGCATAGCCGCCGTGTGCAAAGCGGTCGAGTTCACCGAGTCTGTGGTCATAGCCAAGTTGGGGAATACTTCGAGAAGTTCTTGCAATACCTCTGCAACATTTGTTAAGACAAAACGATATCAAGAACAGACGAAAACAACACAGAAGGCTGATATCACCGAGCAATCCGATATTCAAGATTACGCCTTATATCGAAATATTCAAATTACATCTAATCCAACTTACATAGGACGTTTGAAGTCAATAATCCTTACATATTTACATAATTAAAATAACAAGCTTTGATAAACTTCACTTACGAAATGAATGACTTTAGCAATATATATCTCTTTGAATGCCCAAATTCAAAAGTAAGTGAATAAATAAGTTTGACATATGTTCATGAGAAAAGTCAAAGAGATGCGTGAGATACTTTACTCCTAACCCCACAAGATTCTGAAACAGAGTTTAACCCGAGTCTAGATTAAGAAGGGTGATCAGTCTTTTCTTTCTATGTGTAACTAGAGTGTAGCACCTCTCTTTACGGGTCACCACAGATGTAACAAAAAGTCGAATTCTAACTCGTATTCAATTCATTCAACTAATTTCGATACGTAATCTATTATGCTCAACAAGTATGTGAACGTGTTACTCAGACTAAGGTGTTCGTGCTTTATAGATCTCTTCAACAATCATTATCGAGATGCAAGTCTACAATAAAAGGTCAGCTATCCTACATAAACAGACATTTATTAAGCAATTGATATTAAAGTCATGATCATTAAGAACATGATATCATATGATTGAATGTGATATCTACTTGCAACAGACGAATACAATAGACATTCTTACTGAGATGGCCGTGCTTCGCTGCAACGTGGAAGGCATCGAATCCATTTCTAGCAGCCATAAAAGCAGTCTCAAGGTCCAAATATTTCAACATCTCTGCAACAACGAAGTCATGTCCATTTTCAGCGGCTGCATAAAGCGGAGTCTCGCCTTCGAGATTTTGCTTCGACATTAAACCATTTGACTCATTTCTATCATTACAATTCTGAAGAATCTCTTTGATTCTTGATAAATTTCCACTTCTTGCTGCTAAGTGAAGTGGAGAATCGCCACGTTTCCCAGGCGATTCCCTCGTCTTCTTCCTCTCGCCTCCCATGAAACTCAGCTGCCTCTCCATCACCATACGAAAGCTCTTCTGCTTCTCCATGAACCCTCTAAAGCTTTTCTGCTTCTCCATAACTACACGAGTGCTTGGCTGCTTCTCTAACGATATCTCTTTCGAACTATTCTCCATGATCATATTCAGAAGAACATCGAGCAACTAAGATTACAATAAATCTGAACTAAACCACCGATCGATTCTCAATTACTTGAAACCACGATTCTCAGATCGATTAACTTAGGAACCAATAGAAGAAAATCAACAATCCATGAAACCAAATAGCTCAAGAACACGAAAACAGAGCAAAATCAAACACCTATATCTCGGGCGGGAGGTTCCAACCCCAAAATCCGTATCAATAAACGAAACCCAGATAGAGAAATCAACAAAAACAGAGCAAAATCCACCAAATAAACGAAACCCAGATGAAAAAAAGCAAGAAAAAGTCAGATAATGGTTCGATGTAGGGGAAAAACGTTACCAACCCAACAGCGAGGATGAAAAATGAAAGCAGGAGAGAGAGAAGAAGAGGGTTTGTTCTTGTGTGTGTGTGTTTTTTTAATGGAATCGAATAATCCAAAGAGTAAAAGAGAAAAAGAAAAAGGGGGAGAAAGAGAGATGATTAATGGAGTAAAAACATATGAACAAACATCCAAAAACGCACTACAGAGTGACCACCACAATCGCAGCCACCATTGCTACACGTATCACTCTCTCTCTCTCCTGCTGGTGTGGTACTGTAGCGTCAATTTGGTGACCCAAACACGCTCTCTTTCGCAGCGGAATTGAATTCATGGGAAGGCAACTTATCATGATCTTTATAGCCATGTTTTTAAGTAAGTTTTCTTGTTTTTCTTATGTGCCTAACAATTTTGATGAGTGTGTTTGTAGCTAGTTTTGATCTACGTATGGTTTTTGTTAAGAATTGTGATCAATAATGAACTGTAGGTCCCTAATATACACATAGTTTAATGCACTAGAGAATTTAAAGCTAGTAATAATTAAAGAAGACCAAATTTCGAAAGGCACTAATATAAGTCAAATATGCACTCTCGAACGTAAATTTTTTGGATCTCTATTTTGAGGTAGAGTGAAGATTAAGTATCGATTTCCATCAACTTTTGAAATACTAATCGATCTTTTATATCGAAAAATATGAATCTGGGTATTTCGATAATAAAGTCACAAAGACGAAACACATGACGAATGAGTAAGAAGTTTGTATCTCTCATCTGTTCACCAATGATTGACACAAAGAATAGTAGCTCACCATTAATGAACTCAAGCTTCAAAAGCACTTCAACTACAAACTCCTTTAAAGCTAGTCGAGTTAAAAAAATATCCGTATTAGTTTGGGAAGAAAACGATAATATTTTATTTTAAAAATACTTTTAAACTTTAAAAAGTTTCATTAATACTCTTTACCATCGGTTTAAAAAAAGTTTAAAAAAATTCTTATCGTAAATAATATGAACAGAAATCGTCTATCCACATTTCATAGATTATCTCCAAACTTTGTAATGTTATTTTTGAAAGTTCATAGTATTTTTGAAACGTGTTCGTAATGCTAAAATTATTTTTGCAATTTTTTAAAAAGTTAAAAGGGTATTAGTGAAAAATACTTTTGAAATTCTTTTAAAAAATAATTTTTTTAATATTTTTGGTTTTTTATTTTTTATTTTTTATTAAGTTTAGTGGAATTATTGAGTCTTTTAAAAATGGAAGGGTAAATATAAATATTATTTATATAAGGGATAGCATGTGAAATTATTAAAATATTATGTCGGTTTAATTATTGATATTGTATTTTTAAAGAAAAAAAAGTATTTATTTAATAAAAATGAATTTTCTTTTTACAATTCAATTATTTATTGAATAGAAGAATTATCAAATACCATAATTATTAAATCTCATGAGTTCTTTTTTTTTTTTTTTTTTTTTTTTTTTTTTTTTAAAAAA